CTTACAAGTGGCTAATGTCCGAAAGTGCATCTCCAAATGCAGCATTTCAGCTACTGCACAGCTTGCCTCACACACTACTCAATGCTTCAAACCCCTATCACTTACCTATCAACAGTCTCCCAACCATCACAACCCAAGCCTCCTAATCATAGTTTCGTCTTAGCATCACACACATAACTGTGTAGAAATTCTTGCATCCCCATATCTCACCTCATGTATTTTGCTAACTATCAAATTATGGTAACCGCATCTAATGAGCACACTGAAACACTAACACACTCGCAATCTTGATGCCACTTTGCACAGAAAACCTCACATCTAACACTGAAAGTAAGGAATCTAAGAAGGCAAATTTCGCTGCCACTGTGTTTTCTACTGATGTTTCGAAGTCAAATCAGGATACATAAAACATTGAGTATTGCTGAAAATCGATTTGGTCAAAGCTTTCCTCTTCGTACTCATCAGAACAGTTTGCAAAAATACCAAAAGTGGGAAATCGACATTTATACTGTATGAAAGTAGAGTTCTGGGTGGTAGGAGCGTTGTCATAGAGAATACCCTATTAATTACAACTGGCATGTAACTGCCAAATATTGTTTAAATTTCAAACAAGGCAGTTTGACTTTGATTAGTCAAAGCAATGCCCTGATTGATGAGCCACAGAATGAATCTTTTGTTGGGTTGAGACAGGCATTTGATGTGAATTGTCCTGAAGAATGGAAGACAACAGGCTTTTTTTCATAAATACATACATTTTGTACTATTGAATGACGAAAGATTTAGGATGGTTTCTTCAGAAGTCACATGCTTGACGTTATAGGAAATGATGACACAAGCCCAGTAATCAAGTTGACCTCACTTTGAACAAGCAGCCAACATAGTGAAATGCAACAGCATTTTTCCTAATCTTCTCTACCGTGTGTTATTCAAAATTGCTTAAGTTTCCTGATCTTGCGGCAAGACTTCATAGGAATTATCAAAATAATTTATTCTCCTTTTCATTACTTCTGGAAGAGTATCCTGTTATATTGAAAAAAACCTTTTCTTTATTTCTTCATGGGATATGGGCATTACTGACGAGGTGAGCACTTACTGCTCATTCCTAATTGCCTTTGTGGTGAGCTGCATTCTTAAACCACTGCATCCACAGCACTTCAATGAGGTGTGAGGCTGTCACGCACTGCAAGGACTGTACAGGTGGAATCTGGGTAGAGGGTGGAGGGTGATGTTGTGAAACCTCTTATGAAAGCTTTCATACATGATAAGTTCCTGTTGACATAATAATCGATGCTCTCACAAAATTCAAATCAGTAAAACTAGCTGGCTGCAGAAGCATGACAGATGCAAATCACGATGACAGGCATTGACAATGTGCCCCTGTTAGGGTAAAATCCAATGACAGGCATTGGCAATAGAATTTAAAAGAACATGCTTTATATCTTTCTTTCAGAATGGATTCATGATCAACTTGTGTCAATATGGCATTTTGAAAATGAGCTACAGTAAACTTTTGTTTCTGGGATCCAAGCTGGACTGAATCTGTTGAAAACTCTTGTTCTTAGTTGAATTAATTCATATCTGTGGTGTTATAGGGAAGTGGAATTGCTGAGGGCTGTAGATTGTCTACAGCAGTGAACAGCTCTTGCAGTTTGAATAAATTGGTACATGCTCACTTCACCTACAGCTTCATCAGAGGACCATTTATTAGGAAAGTACTTAACAAATCTGAGATATCAAGGTTTTGAACTGCATTAATGGCTTAAGGATATTTTAGCACAGGAAATGTATTAAGATACAATTCATGGTGCACACTAGCACAGAACATTAAAAATTAATTAAGCTAATTTTAGATTATAAATATCTTTCTCATTATAGAACTAGTTATCAGAAAAATAATTTATTGGAGCATCTTCCTGGCTATGAACAACATGGACGATGGAGAGAAATTTGGGACAGATTTGAGAGAAAATTGAATGAAATTTCAAGGTCAAAATGTCCCTTTTTCAAACTAAATGTTGGATTTTGAGATGTGATTCTCGCTAGTGGACAACAAGAGCTTAATTTACATGAATAATCACTCATTATCACTCCCATTATTAATTAACCTGCCCCATTAATGTGGAGTGTCCCATTTTATCACCCACCAGATTGAAACCAGGTAGCGAGAATTGCTGACATGAAAGTCTGTGCAGAAACTTGGTTGACTCCAGCTCGCTACTTGCTCTTCTGGACCTCCATCTTGGACACCTGGACCAACATCTTGAAGCACATTCCACAGGCAGTGACTGCATGGTGGACCCCATATCCGCGGATATTGGCGTCCAACTTAACCATCCTTTCTGCTTTGACATGGCACATCTCTGATCCACTGACAATACACTTCTGCACTTCAGTTCTTCACTTTGGAGGACACTGGCACAGCAAATGATTGGACCAGGCTGCATCTCAGTGCTTATTTACATTGTGCCTTGCCTTTTTGTGCTTTACCTCTTTAGTTGGACTTTAAAGGTACACAGTACTTATATCTTGCCGTGCTGCTTAACACAGACACAAAGCTTGTCATGCTTGTCAGCAGTCATCAGTTAATAGTGTGGACATGTTGCACGGCACTGTCCAATGTGAATCTCACACCTACTATACATGCCAGCAACCTGCGTGGCAAACTCACTGTATGTGCTTCGACCAAATGGCTATATCTCGGAGTCGAAAGGAAGTAGTCCTCAACCAAGTCAAGGGGGACTGCCAACATTCAGGAGCATCCGGGTACGGTCAGTGAATAGCAGCATCCGCTCACTCTGGCACAAAGTTAGCCCTTCTGCTCGCGATGGTCAGGGTCAGCAGGTCTGTCCAAATTGTGGGCCACAATCAGGTCTGCAGGTCCAGGGCAAGCAGTCAGCAAATTTGCTGATCGTCAGTCAGGGACTGAATGGAAAACGGTCAGGGGTCCGGTCAGTCGTCAGTCAGTGTCATCCAATGAAGGTGGTGGGCTATGGTCAGCACTAGGGATGAACTGAACGAGAGTTATGGGGAGAGGTATCAGAGACATTGTTGTAGTAGGGAATTGGGGAACCCAACACTGGGAATTGGAGACCACATCCTGGGATGCAAAGGGCAGAAGGATGGTGAAGGGGTAATATTCGCCCTATAAGAGGGGAGAATACAGTAGTACGGGTGAATTATCAACCTCTCATTATGACCTTGTAAAGGAGAGTGTGCATGATGATGGCGGGCAGGGTTAATCTGTAGTGACCAGGCTAAGGGGCTAATGATGAGATTTGCAGGCATAACTCCAGGTGGTGTATGGAAACATGGGGGATTGGTAGTGATGGGCCATCCCAGGACTGTCAGGTGGAAATAGTCATGAAGATTCAGGGGGATCCTGATGGCCAGGTTAAGTCTGGGACTTGCAGTGCTGATCACAAATTGCATTGGTTTCCATGATCTTTCAATTCCTAATTGTGACCTCGAAACGGAAGATGACTTCAGCCACACCCGGACTGAACGGATTCAGGTTTTTTTTCTTTCTGTCATAGAACATGGGCTCCACTTCTCAACTCTAAGGTACCCTTCAAGGGGAAATTGCAACAATCATGCCTTTGCAGAAGATATGTTCAAGTCATTTGTAATCGTTTCACCCCACATGTGAAATGCATGCATTGTAGAACTGTGTAGGTGCAAATGCTGGTCAAACAGTCTTGGCCATGTCATTGGTCATTGTAGATTGAAGATGATCATTCTGCTTCACAGAGATGACTACAGGTGCCCTTTAAAAGAGGCACCTGTGGACCACAAAGCACAAAAATAATGCAAGATCTCATAATTGGCACACAGTGAAGGAACTGATTCCCTCTTAGCATAAATTGTAAGTACAATGTAATATGTACTTATCTGCAATGATGCCTTTTTGTGGGTGATGAGGCTGGGAGGAGAACAGTTCTACAGTCATACACCATTTACAGTAAGCTACTGCCTCATCGCAACATGCTACATTGATTAGAGGAAAGTCCCTTGTCAAAGTTCCATGTAGAGCTATTCCATGGCCTTCCTTATTCGAGAATTCCATGAAGGGGGATGTGATGGCCTAATGGTTTTATAGCTTAGGCTATTACTCAAGAAACCCAACTAATAGTTGGGGGCCCAAGTTCAAATCCTGCCACGGTAGATGATAGAATTTGAGTTCAACAAAAATCTGGAATTAAGAGTCTAATGATGGTTGTGAAGCTATTGTTGGCTTTCAGGAAAAACCCATCTGATTCACTACCCTTTCACTTGATACAAATGACATTTAGCTGGTTTCTATCAAAATTCAGCTCATTGTATTTTCTGTTTAGGTGAGGGCATTTTTTTAATGATTGTTGTCCCATCTGTGGCTTGCTGTCAAGTCATAATTAGTAGGCTGTAAGACTTTAACCAAACAGTTGACCAGTTTACAATAAGTTACAGTCTAATCAATGAACACTAATTCGTAACGATTTTAGGAGATGATCCTGCTGGTTCTTCTCTAGAAATCAAAAATGTGTTTTGCTGAAAGGAATGGATCATATGTTTGAAAAACATACTTTTACAGATGCAGTCTTCCAAAACAGAGCTCCTTCTTTCAAGAATGAATATTGTAAAATCCTATGCATGCTACTCCTGAATTTCTTGTCTTCTATTTTGTAAAGGCAATTCAATAAGCATGGTAGACACATGGAACATCTTTTGTAATGGAATTTAAGTTTTTAAATTTAAGATGCTTCTGCTGTTTTTAATGTAGAAACGTGGTGATAAAGGTAAAAGTGAACCTGTGATATATCCTCAAGCACACAGTGTAATTTGAACAATTGAGAAGACATTGCTCAGCATTCTGTTCTCAAAAACTCCCTTTTAACACTCAAAAACTTGACCCTTTAACAAAAATATATAAAATGCATGTGATTAACAATTACTAAGCAATACTAACAATACTTTTCTGTTTTGTTTTTCATTACATTTAATGACCCTACTCCCTCTGGATACAGGAAGCCGATGCGGAAAGAAGAGAATGGGACAAATCGAGCTGAATATGCAATGACCTCCCAAAATGACAAAATGCCAGATTCAAATAGTGCAATCATTTAACCTTTTTTTTTAAAGAAAACTGCCACAAAGTCGTTTCAAGACAGGCAAATAGCTAGTTCAATATACACACAATGTGCTTTGTGCAAAGGTTAAAACGGTGCTCTGAAGATAAGGATGTCATTTCAAAAAAAAAGCGAGCCCATCAGTTATTCAGAGCATAGAAACAGACTTCCCTTCAGTCACATTGATTGTGAAGTGAAGGATAAGCCTGCCAATCAAACTAAGTAAGGGACAGCTCTTTACAAAGGCATAATCGCTACTTGCAGCTTCCACCGAAACCAACAGCTTTAAGATGCCTCATCACCTGGGTGAATCTCAACTAGTTCTTGCAAACAATCTAGAAACTCTCTCTAAAGCAATCTACTAGAATAGTTATAACTTGCTGTATTCAGTTGCAAGTGGAGGTGCTCGTGTTGAAGCATTTACTCACGTGACCTAGTGTCTTCAGAATAAAACAGGTTACAGTAAAAGGAGGGAAGATCACTTCCCATGAAGCCAGTGAACTGACAGAGTGTTGGCGTCCACCACAAAAAGTGCATCTGCAGTCTGATTGACTATGCAATTTTCTTTTTCGGAAGACACCTCATCAAAATGTACTAATTTTTTTCAGAATATACAGCCAGTAAAGTTTTGTGAATCACTTTGTAAACAGGTGTTTTTTAAGCTTCATTGGCACATCATAGTTTGACTTTATTGGTAAAGCCTTTTTCACACTGGCAGGTTTATCCCAGGTTGTTTTAGCATTATTTTAAATCACAACAAAGTACTGTTAATAGTAACAAACTTGGTAAAATATGAAGTTTCTTTTTTCATGAGCAAATCGAGCATTTATATTTCAAGTGGAGCATTGATTTTCTATATCAAACATGTACTGTGTAATTATTTATAGAACTTTGAACACAATGTTTTCTAATAAGCATTGGCAATAGTCATTGGTGGTTGAATAGGTTCAATAAGTTCAGTCAGGGCAGATTTGTCATCACTTCACACTTCTTTAAACTCTTTCATTATTTACATTGATGCTTTTCAGTTCTAGATTTTTGTTTGTGTGAATATTTCTAATATCCTTTCCATTGAATTTTAAGGACTATTGTACTTGCAATTTTCAAAGAAAACTTTTTCCTACTTTTTAACCTAAGTATATGCTTTGCAAACAAACTGATTTAGACTCAGTAGAATTCTTTTCTCTGGCAGTTGAAAGAAATTTGAAATGTTTGTATGTGTTGCTTTTTACATGTATGCTTCTAAGACTGAAATGAGATGCCTTCAAATGCAAAAATGTAGTCCAGTGTAAAAAAGGCTCCAGTTTACTCAACATATGACTAAAATATATTTCTGGCTTTTTAGTGTTTTTAATACTAAAGCCACATTCCACTCTCCTTTAATGGGGAAACAATAATGTATTGTGATAACTGCTTTTAGTATTCATTAATGAGTTAAACAGTCTTGATCTTAATTGGAAAGTTCCTGAGTTATTCCTTTTAGTTTTTGATTAACACACATAGAACATGGCTACTTGTGACATATTCAAATTGACTGCATGCAATAGTAAGAATGTATATAGACTGAATGTCAAAATGATGAGCATGGCCCAGGTTCAGGATCATTTTTGATTGTGTTTCTCCAAATTATTCTCCAATCTTTTAGAAGTATGAAGGTTTATAATCTTGTCATGTCACTCATACAGATCTGTTCTTGTAAATTCCTAAGCAATGAATCAACCTGTGCAAATTATCTACAAGCATTCCTTCTTTCAACAACTGCTAGCCAGCCTGTGTACTTTTCTTCAGATGATTGTAAAGGAGTCAGAAATTGGTTTAGCTGTTTTATCACCTTGTTTGAAGTCGATTAAATTACACACAGGGTGAACACTTTAAACAGTGTCACTATTCCTCCTAGAATCTGCATCCTTTCCATATGCAAGCTAGACATTATTTAACCAATTCTCAAATTTTGCTAGATCCAAATTCATTGATCTTGGATGTCAAGAAAGTGTGGACTGCAGAAAGGGCTATAACACTCTCCCTAATTTCACAACTTTTGCGGGTGACTCAGCACAGGATGTTGATTTATTCTGCTTTTTTTCAGCTTTGAGAGGGATCCTTCAACTAGGTTTCTCAATGTAAAACAAATGCTCCAATTCTGCTCTCATTCATTTTGGAAGGACTTTGCTAATCAATGAAGTAATAATTAAATATAACTAGAATTTGAGAAATAGGAAAAATTCTTTTGGAAGTTGACTGCGAAATGTGCAGAACACTGCTAAATATATTTAGAAATCTGAAGTATTTCTGTTATTGCTGTGTATTTTTTCTGGTACAATAATGTCCAATTAAACATCAGTCAATAATCTGCTGTCACAATAATGGTGATACTAATGACTACGTCCATTATTTCTGTGCAAATGCTACAACTTCATTCAAGGGCAGATGCACAATTAAATTCAAATATCCAAAAATTGTTGCTTGGGTTGTGCCATTTCACCATTAGTTTTGTGCAAATGTCATGTTGCTATCTATCTCAGTAGGAAAATTCATTGATTATTGTGAAGTATGCCATGTATGTCCAGTAAAAACAAACTCACCATGGAAAGTTACATTTTTTAAATCTCCAAATTCTAAAACTTGGAAGAATGATGTTCCATACTTGCAAAACGTACTTTCCAGTATGAGAGTGATTGCTTGGCAATACTAAGCACTACTGCATGATTAAAAGGGGCATTTAGATCAAATAGACAAGACTTAACTTCGCAGATAGCACAGAGCTTGAATATTGCTGAAAAAAGAGACGGTTGAACCTTTTCGTCTTAACCGATGCAAGAATGCCAAATTTCTAAGAAAGCCTTAATATGTTCGGCATGGGAAACAAAGTTCTGGTGTTGATTTGTTGGCAAGTCAGATTTGAATGGTCAAGGCATTGCCGTGAGAATGCACAAGGGAGCTATTTTTACCCCAGCCTTCTGTTCAATTCAAAAAGGCACAATACTTGAGCAAATTAATTTTGCCTGCAGTAGACAGAGTATAAAAATATGAGTCGTTTCTACAAAAATAGCTGAGCTAACTTTCGAATTCGTAGCACACTCGGGATTATTTTGCAAGTGCTAGTTGATTATGGAATTACATTTACTATTAGGCTTTATGTAAGCCCGATGAACAGCACACTCCTTTCTGCTGTTCGCAATAGGCAGAGTACTGATCATACCTAACCATAATGTTTGATACCCAGTCAGGCACACGTTGGATATAGGTCTCTCCTGCTGCCCATTAGATCTGAGCAGCAGAAGATTGAGGCACTTAAAATGGGCTTTGGTTGCCCACTTAAGTGTATCATTTGGGCCATGAGTAAGCGGTCTAACCAGTGCCTTCGCAGTTTGTCAAATCACAGTGGGGTCTGATGGTCAGGCAGCGAGCATGATGTGAATGGCATTGTACCTAATTTCTTTGGGTCTACCCAGCTGCTTTTCTGCCTACCAATATCCAGCAAAAGCTAGTTCATGATTCAGGTTTCTGAAATTCCATCAGAAATTCCGTTTTATTTTCTCCACTGATGCTGTTTGACCAGCTGGTATTCTGAATGATCTGTGTTTATTTAAGATTGGCAACAGTGTGCTCACCAATCTTACTCATTTTAATCACAGTGGCATTTTAATGATACACTAAATGCTAGGTACTGCCAAGCAATGCCTCTTAATTTGACCATTAATTTTTGGAAATGTGAAGGTTCATTCCTCTAGATTTTAAATTATGGAAGATTCTTCTTGTGCCTGATTTGATATTGAACCCACCCACACTAATTTACACTTCCTGTTCAATCCTTGCATCACTAATTTTACATTCATTTATTCTGACTGGCTAAGGAGACCTACTCACCCACGGCACAGATGTCCAGGTTTTCATCACTGCAACATTATTAGTTTAGTTTCAAAAAATGCCACGCAAAAAGACATACAAGGGCAAGTTAACAAACAGTGGACATTGGTTGCTCTGCCTTAACAAATTTTGGTCATTTTATTTATATCAACTCAAATAGCTGTATATATGATGGATGATGTGTTTAAAACATTAGGAAATAGGAGCAAGAGTAGGCTATTCAGCCCCTTAAGCTTGCTGCACTGTTCTATAACAAAACAGATTATCTGCCCCAGGCCTCAGCTCCTCATTGCCCTCAATTTCACATTTCAAAAGTCAGTCTACATCCTCTTTGAATATTTTCAGTATTCTTGCCTCCACAACTCTCTGGAGTAGTGAATTGTAGGCATTCACTACCCTCTAGGAGAAGAAATTCCTTTGTAGCTCAGTTTTAAATCAGTGTCCCCTTATTCTGTAATTACGTCCCTGACTTTGAGGCTCCCCTGCTACTGGAAAGACCTTCTCAAAAGGTACCCTGTCAAGCCTGCACAGAATCGGGTATGTTTCAAGAAGATCACTCATTCCTCTAAACTCCAGTGAATAAGTGCCTAACCTGTTTAGTCATTCTTGATAAGTCAACCCCATTATTCCAGAAAATAGCCTAGTGAATCTCTTTTGAACTGCTTCCAATACTAATATAATCTACTCTTCCCAAAAATTAAAAATATATTTGTTTCAGCTGCCTGGTTACTTGTCCTTAAATTTGACAGGATTTTGGTTTGAAAGTCCAAAAGAAGTTGCTGTGGGGAGGGGAGGTCATAATGGTTTATATTGGTTACAATTAATACCAGCAATTATCAACTACCATTGATACAGATCATGATAAATAATTTTGGGAAATGTTGAGATTGGAAGTCCATTGGAATGTTTTGGTGGCATTTAGAATGAAACATAAAAGTAGGCTTGTTTTGCTACAGTTGTACAGGGCAGTGGTGTGACTACATCTGGACAACTGAGAACTGTTTAAGAAAGGATATCAACGTCAATTGATACCTTGGATGGGGTTATCTTCTGAAGACTGACTGGACAAGCTGGACTTGTATATCCATTAGGGTTTGGAAGAATGAAACATTTAAAATCCAGTTGGTGGTTGCTGAAAGGATGGTTTCCCCCTTGATTGGAAGAGATTAGAACGAGTGAATACAGTTTACAAATAAGGGGCCTTCATTGAATTGAGGAGAATTTTCTTTCTTAAAGTTTTTTTGAGTCTTTGAGAGCTATGAATATTTTTAAGGCAGACATCGATAGATTCTCGACTAACAAGGGAGTTAAAGGGGTAGGGTGGGAATGTGAAGTTGAGGCCCCGATCAGATGGGACATTATCTTATTGAACAGTGGAACAGACTCAAGTTACCAAATGGCCCAGTAGTACTCCCTAATTCATAATTCGTTTTGCCTATCCGATCTTGAAATGTAATCACTTCTATTTTTACAATTGTTTCAGTGGTACTGTATTTGTTATGATAGATAGAAAATGAAAGCAGTACTCATCCCTAAATGTGTGACTGATATGTCCCAGTTGTAAACTTAGCTAGAGTGTATACTTGAGAGTACATGAGATAGTTCATAAAGGTGCTCCAGTATACTTCAGGAGTGATTGCACATGAGCTTTTCCCTTTGATTCCTCCCATCAATTGCTAAACTAGATTTTCTTCCAAAGTAAAATGTCAAGAGAATGGATACCTTTCTAATCATGTGGAGGGGGAAACAATAGGGTGATTTGTTTTCTATTGTTCTCACAGATTGCCTAAAGTGTACCTCAATATTCATATTGGTAAATATCTACAAACAGCTGAGTTGTCCATCCAAGATAACAAGCTGTAGAGCTGGATGAACACAGCAGGCCAAGCAGCATCAGAGGAGCAGGAAGGCTGACGTTTCAGGCCTCGACCCTTCTTCCTGAAGACAGGCCTGCTGTGTTCATCCAGCCCTACACCTTGTTACCTCAGATTCTCCAGCATCTACGGTTCCTACTATCTCTGAGTTGTCCATCCACTCAGTTTTGTGACGTAAAAAAGTACAGTACAGAAGCTGTAACAAAACTTTTATTTCTAAAATGGCTGGATTAACACAGTTGTTAATGTGGTGTTAGCCTGAGATTTATAATTAACGCATGGATTTTACCAATCTGAGAATGGATAAATTTAAATTCCATGCTGCATTTTATGGGGTACAATACTGCAATAATTTTTCTCCCCCATTTCTTTTTATACTGGACTTTCTTTCACCAAGTTAGTATCTGGATAAGCTGTTCTGAACCTTCATCTCGTACTGCAGTTGACCAAAGGAGATTGATGAGGATTGTCGGTGTGTTTGACTCTCCAATTTATTTCATTCCTGTGTTGCAGAGTGTTTATCTTTAACAGCAGAATTAAGACTTTCAGCTGACCATGCAAGAAATAACAAGTATATGGTCTACTATGCTCAGATATGGTGCTTTTCCAGACCAGTTCCCTTATCTTTACTGGCCCACTAAGAAAATAGCTTCCAGAGAATACGATATGGACAATTTGAGGCTCACTGGAACATTGCGTTGAATCTTAACCAGCATGAGTTGCATAGTTGGAGATCCAAGTGTCTGTTGGCAAGCCCAGAAGTGTGCATTTCCAATTTCCTCTGAATTTTGACTTCCCAGTGTGCGGTTTGCTTTGAGGGCGCTTTCCATTTGTAAATCAAGCTGGTTATAGGATTGGCTCTCAGTCACCATGACAAGGACTCTGGAAGATACTGTAGTCATCAGAATATTGACTGCTGCTAGTGGGGATGGCCTGATAGTGTGATTCCTTGATTTATTTTTGGGGGTTATGTGGGGAAGTGGTGTCTCATTTGGAGAATTGGGACAAACCTCTTACCTTCTGCCCAAAGTTGTTTTCATCTCCCTTTAGCTATCCTGCATATCAGGTTAAATCAGGGGCTGCCTCCCTCATTACAGTATTGAATCGGTGAATCCATCTCCCACCACTGACTGACCTTGTCCACTTCTTTGAAACCCCCCATGTTGAGGTCAGCTTTGAGATTTTAAAACATTTTAACCTTTCATCTGATCGCCACTTGACTGTTTTGTGGGGTTGAGTGTCATCCCATTGAGTTGTAAAAGTCAGTCAAAATTCTGATATCCTTCATTTTTCCAGAGCTACTTTTAGATACATAGCACGATACATAAAGCTTGTCATTGCAACAAAAGTATAAGTTGACATTTGTATAAAAAGAGGTAGATTTATACCTTTGCCATATGAAAGATAACGTGGCTAGAGCACAGAAAGGAAAGTCTGCCAGGGAAGATCATAAACCTTTTACAGAACCCACTGGATGATTCTTCCTTTCCCAATGTGCAGTCCTCTCCACTTTGTTTTCCTTTCCATGTTCCAATCAAGTGATGCCCATATGGTAAGGATACTCCTTGTCTTTAGAAAAAGAGAGCCTGCATTTATATAATACCTTTCCCATTCATAGGTCATCCCAAAGCACTTTACATCCAATAAATGCCTAACGTAGAAACTAGGTGCAGGAGCTAACCTTTTGCCCTTCACCCCTGCATTACCATTCAGTATGATCATGGCTATCCTCTGCTAAGGCATCTATCCAATGCCACATCCCTGCTTTCTCCACATCCCACTTGATCCCTTTAAAATCTAAAACTTCATCTTATCTCAATTTTGAATATAGTCAGTGACTTGACCTCCACAGCTTTCTGTGGTAGAGAATTCCGCAGGTTTCATCATCTCAGTCTTAAAGGTCTACCCCATACCCTGAGACTGTGACCCTGGGTTCTAGATTCCACAAGCAGGAAAGACATTCTCCCTGCATCTAGTCTGTCTAGCTCTGTTAGAATTTCATATGTTTCAATCAGATCCCCTCATTTCCTTTTAAATCCTAGTGAAGTAGGCTGAGGCAAACCAAGCTGTCCTCGTAGGTCGGTCCTGCCATCCACTGTCAGCCTAATGAACCTCTGCTGAATTCCTTCTATGATAAGTGTATTCTTTCTTGAGTAGGGAGACCAAAAATGCATGCAATACTCCAGATTAAGTTTTATTTTATCATAAACATTGTAAGATAGACAGTTCATGGTGTTGCTCATTCACACCTTTAACATGGACAAATCTCTTAGTCTGAATTTACATGCTAGAAAATCACTTTGTATTTGTTGCAAAGAGCTTTTGTTTTATTCAACACACTTCATGATAATCTATTTACAACCATTGCTTTTATTTTGTGGTTAATTGACATGTTTCACCTCCTGTCTATTCAAGTAGCTGAATACAATTTTCACACAAAATTACTTTAGAACAATGTGGTAATGCTAGATAGGATGAGAAACAATCCAAGTGAATGAACATCATTTCTGCAATGCAGGTACTTTCATAAGGATGTCCAGCTCAATTTCCTCATAACTTTCTCCTCCATATTTATGCTGTTGTCATAGATGTCATGGTATTTCAGTCACTGATTATCTTTGAGTGCCAGCAACAAATCATAATGAAAGCTTGATATTTTCTTTTTTGAAAAGTTTTAAACATATCGTGTAACCATTCTAAAATAATCTTTGCAGTTTAATATGACTTCCTGAAATTATATCTCCTTTAGGATCTTCATCGCAACCCCCACCCAACCAACCCTCCATTCGGCTCTCCACACCCATTTCAACATTTGGATCATTGGAGATCTTTGCTTTCATACCTGCATTTCAAAGCATTTTACTAACCATGAACTTCTGTGAAAGAATGATTTCAGGAACAAAGTAGACCAGAATCTGAAATGGGAAGTGATCTGTCAAGTATGAAATGAGATTACACAAGGCACATTGCTTCTGAAGTCAAATTACAATTCTGAGAAAAGTAGGTTAAAGTGGAGATTGTCATTGAATTCCTATAAAGTAAAAAGGGGAAGCTTTGCATCAGAATAATTTACCCATGAAGATGCTAGAGGAAAATAAAAGTGGCATAATGTGCCAAGAAGGACGGCAGCAACATTTTCATTGTAATGTCATTTTAAACACTATTTATTTCATTTGTCAGGTCTTAAAACAACCAGCTCGATTACCTATGAGTTACTAGATACAGCTGTTCTTCTTAGCAATAAATATTTATTCTTAGCTGCTACATTTATAATCACTCCTGTTTGCAAGAATGGATTTGTTCAACAAAATATGGTTACATTAGCTCTGTGTCATATAAACTTAAAAATATACCAAACATCTGTGCATTTGAAATTGTAATCCAAAATGTATTGCAGAACAAACAATAGTGAGAA